TGCCATTAAGTTTCTGTATTGAAACTAAGAATGTCATGAAATATATTCTAATGTGAAATAAACTTGCTCATTAAAGCTATACAGAAATATGACTAATAGTATTTAACAGATGTTTTGTTTAAATCAATAATAACTAAAAAGACTGAAATATTATATGAATATAAGAATGTATATTATTAAATATTTTGGTATATAAATTGAACGAAATGAAAATTCAACATATAGTATAGTTTCTTTTTTTCCATAAATATTATCATTAAAACAGTTACTTTCTTTTAATGTAATAGAAAGTAATCAAACAAAATGATTACCATCACATTTACAAGGAAGAAATAAATGCTTAAGTATGCTCATCATCGAGGCGTTTTATTTTTATACTCATATATATATATATGTAACATTATCAACAGGTGAAAACATAGTCACTCTCAAGAAAGAGAAAAAAATTGTTTGAAAATAAGTGAAGCGTGCAAGTATAACATATGTATACATGAATAACATCATATCTTATCCATCTTTTTCTTCGTTTTAGTTCGTTTGATAACAAACGATGGCTTCGTTTCTTGTTACTAATAATCCTGCATTACCTCAATCACCAGTTAAGTCAATACGTACAACTTTTTCTCTTCAAACTTCAATGCATTCTGAAAATTCTACACCAAAATCACGAATTAAATCAGTTAAGTCAATGGATACAAATTATTCTCCTCAAACTTCAATACATTCTGAAAGTTCTACATCACAGTCACCAGTTAAATCAATTAAGTCAACAGTTACAAATTATTCTCCTCAAACTTCAACACATTCTGAAAATTCTATACCACAATCACCAGTTAAATCAATAGTTACAAATGATTCTCCACAAACTTCAATATATTCCGAAAATTCTACACCTCAATCACCAATAAAATCAATTAAGTCATTAGTTACAACTTTTTCTCCCCAAACATCAATCCATTCTGAAAACTCGATATCAAAATCACGAATTAAATCAGTTAAGTCAATGGATACAAACTATTCTTCCCAAACTTCAACACATTCCGAAAATTCTGAACCACAATCGCCAGTTAAATCAATTAAGTCAATAGTTACAACTTTTTCTCCACAAACTTCAATACAGTCTGAAAATTCTATACCAAAATCACGAATTAAATCAGTTAAGTCAATAGGTTCAAATTATTCTCCTCAAACTCCAATACACTCTGAAAATTCTACACCACAATCACCAGTTAAGCCAATAGGTACAAATTATTGTCCACGAACTTCAATACATTCTGAAAACTCTAGGCCACAATCGCCAGTTAAATCAATTAAGTCAACAGTTACAAATTATTCTCCTCAAACTTCAACACACTCTGAAAATTCTAGACCACAATCACCAGTTAAATCAGTCAAGTCAATAGTTACAACTTTTTCTCCACAGACTTCAATAGTTTCTGAAAATTCTATATCAAAATCACGAATTACATCAGTTAAGTCAATAGACACAAATTATTCACCTCAAACTTCAGTACATTCTGAAAACTCTAGGCCACAATCGCCAGTTAAATCAATTAAGTCAATAGTTACAACTTTTTCTCCCCAAACTTCAATATATTCCGAAAATTCTACATCACGATCGCCAGTTAAATCAGTGAAGTCGGTAGTTACAAATTATTCTCCTCAAACTTCAATACACTCTGAATATTTGACACCACAATCAAGTATACAACATAGTCAAACGTCAACAGATTCCGAATCAACATTATCTAACGATGATAGTTCAAGTGATGATTCATATTATGAAGAATTTATGAATAAATCACCAACAAAACATGTTCATTTTGATGATCTTTTGGAACCACAAATAAGCATTGACATGAAATTAGAAAATGATGAAGTAGAATTTTTTGCTGTTGTTGCTATTGATAATACAATCAGTCCTATTCACGATAAAAACAATAATATAAATAAACCAATTAGAAAACGTGATAAAATACGTGCTATGTTTCATAATAGATTTCATCGATCACATAGTATTAGTTCCGATACAGATCCTCATGAATGGAATCAAGTTTTAGCTAAAACATTAGTTTCAATGCGTCATGATATCGAAGATATTATTGCTGGTTTTGATGATATTGATCAACCTATAGAAGAGAAATCTCCATCGAATACATCGGATCTTATTCTTACGACACCACGTCTTTCATTTCGTGAACGTCAACAAGCAAAAATTCAAATGATGAGAATGGCACAAATGTTTCATCCACCAAATCTTCTTACTTGTAATATAAAAGAATCTCCTTATCCATATACAGATATAGTTGATTCGGGTAATTTTCATTTTTTTGGTAATAAAAGTACTCCAGCAGAAACCTTTTTTGTACAACATAAACCATTTCAACATAAAAAATTTCGTTATCGAACTCAACGTGGTTTATTAAAAATGCGACATGATTTAGAAAAAATGAAACATGATCTATATGGTAAAAGTATTGAAAAAACACATAGAGAATTACCATCACATGATGTACAAAACTATCGAAGTCGTTTAGAAAAAACTCTACTCGAAGTACGTACACAAATATCTGAATATGATCGAGTACATGCATTAACAAATAATCATCGACCAAGTATTAGTCAGATAATTTCAAGTATGAAAAAAGTAGATCCAGAGAAACAAGCACAAATAGATGATTATCGATCAAAATTAAGACCTACAGTAAGAAGAATTTGTTTTGTTTTTATGAAAAAATTTTAAACTCGATTATTAATTCAGGAATATATTGAAGAAAAAGATAATCATGAACTTGTTTCTGCACCATTTATTCCACGTCGAGCGCCATATCGCCCCAATAATATTAAAAAAGATATTGAGGAGGATAATGAAATTATTGATCCACGTTTCGATCGTACTACATTTATTGATCTTAATAAAGAAGCTGACATCTTTTTTGGTACCGATGAACAACCGTTTTGGAATCAACCAGAAAATTTAAAATTATCGGCATCACCATTACCTGCAAGACGTCGGTCAAGTCAGATAGTATTACCACCGAAAATAAAATTTTGGGATCGTTTAGTTTATACGATTAAATTAAAACAAAAACTTATGAAAGATAAAGAATCGAACGATATGGAATATTCTGATTGTATTTCTCCTTCACAACAAAGAAAATCACAATCATTAATTATGCTTCATGAAGAAGAAAGTGTAGAATTTTAAAAAGGCATATAAAAGAAACCAGTTGCAATAGTTCCATAAGCTAATAATAATTGTATACCTTGCATCCAATTAGAATTACCATTAAGTACACTATTACCTAAATTATATATGATAATTTTCATGGTTTATATATATATATATTACGAAAATATGAACTTACAAATGGCTACGGAAAAGATTGTACTGATAAGATCAAAAGATTTAAAATCGAAATCAAGTAAAATATTTGCTTCACCATTGGATTTCGT